CCAGACACTATAAAACTCTTAGAGGAAAACATAGGCAGAACACTCTATGGCATAAATCACAGCAAGGTCCTTTTTGACCCACCTCCTAGACAAATGGAAATAAAAACAAAAAGAAACAAAGGGGATCTAATGAAACTTAAAAGCTTTTGCACAGCAAAAGAAACCATAAACAAGACGAAAAGAAAACCCTCAGAATGGGAGATAATATTTGCAAATGAAGCAACTGACAAAGGATTAATCTGCAAAATATACAAGCAGCTTATGCAGCTCAATATCAGAAAAAACAAACAACCCAATCCAAAAATGGGCAGAAGATCTAAATAGACATTTCTCCAAAGAAGATATACAGACTGCCAACAAACACATGAAAGGATGCTCAACATCACTAATCATTAGAGAAATGCAAATCAAAACTACAATGAGGTATCACCTCACACCAGTCAGAATGGCCATCATCAAAAAATCTACAAACAGTAAATGCTGGAGAGGGTGTGGAGAAAAGGGAACCCACTTGCACTGTCGGTGGGAATGTAAACTGATATAGCCACTATGGAGAAGAGTATGGAGGTTCCTTAAAAAACTAAAAATAGAACTACCATACAACCCAGGAATCCGACAATTGGGCATATACCCTGAGAAAAGCATAATTTTCATGTACCACAATGTTCACTGCAGCACTATTTACAATAGCCAGGACATGGAAGCAAGCTAAGTGTCCATCAACAGATGAATGGATAAAGAATATGTGCCACATATATACAATGGAATATTACTCAGCCATTAAAAGAAATGAAATTGAGTTTTTTGTAGTGAGGTGGATGGACCTAGAGTCTGTCATACAGAGTGAAGTAAGTCAGAATAAGCAAAAGAAATATCGTATGCTAACACATATATATGGAATCTAAAAAAAAAAATGGTTCTGAAGAACCTAGGGGCAGGACAGGAATACAGATGCAGATGTAGAAAATGGACTTGAGGACACGGGGAGGGGGAAGGGTAAGATGGGAAGAAGTGAGAGAGTGGCACTGACATATATACACTACCAAATGTAAAATAGATAGCTAGTGGGAAGCAGCCGCATAGCACAGGGAGATCAGCTCCTTGCTTTGTGACCACCTAGATGGTTCGGATATGGAGTGTGGGAGCAAGACGCAAGAGGGAGGGTATATGGGGATATATGTATACATATAGCTGATTCACTTTGCTATACAGCAGAAACTAACAAATATTGTAAAGCAATTATACCCCAATAAAGATATTTTTTAAAATGTCTGAGAGAAAATGTGTGAGCTCATTATGGAAAAGACTAAAATGATACAGAGGAACACACAATAAGCTATGAACCAAAGAAAAAGCATTCCATGTCCTTGGACAGGATGACTCAACATCATAAAAATGTCAATTCTCCCTAAATTAACCTACAATTTTCACACTAGTCTAATAAAGATGTCAGCATCACTTTGTCAGAATAATCAAGCTGAGTCAAAAGTTCATGTGGGAAAATAAACAAGCAAAAATAGCCAAGAGAAGTCTGCAACAGAAGAGTAATAGAGAGGGATCAGTCTCCAAGTATTAACCCATTACAGAACTTCAGTAATTACAATAGTGTGACACGGGCACATGGATAAACAGAGAAATCATGGAACAGAATATGAAGTCCAGGAATAGACATACATTAATATATGGCATTTTAGAAAATGTGGTATTTCAAATAGGTGGGGAAAAGGTGGACTATTTAATAAACAGTGTTGAGAAAAATGGATCAGGGAAAAGAAAAGGAAAAGAAAAAGAAAATCTGATTCTATTCCTGACAGCTAGTAATAGGATAAATTCCAAACATATTAAAATTTTAACTGTTTAAAAAAAAATCCCAGGGGAAACCATAGAAAATGGAAGGCCTTTCTATTTATGACATGAATCTCAAAAGCTATACAAGTAAAAACTGATAAACTCAATTACAGGTTTAAAAAATGTGCATGGTAAGAAGTACAACAAGCTAATTCAAAAGGCAAATATCAAATTGGGAGAAAAAAAGTGAATTGATATCACAAACAAAAGGTTAATCTCACTAATTATAAAGAGTTCCTAGAAATCAATGAGAAAAAGACTATCCAATGAGAAAAATGGGCAAAAATATTGACAGTTCACAGAAAAGGAAATACGAATTGTCCTTCAATACACATAAAGAAGCTCACTTATAATAAGAAAATTAAATCATTTTCACCTATCAGATTGGCAGAGAGTGAAGTTCAATAATTCACTCTTTTAGGGAATTGGGTAGGGAAACAGGTCTTCTCTTACTTGTTGGTGAGAGTGTAAACTGGTACCACTTCTATAAAGGGCAATTTGATTCTGTTCATCAAGCTTATAAATACTATACCCTTTTAGAAATATATTCTAAGATGTATATGTTTGTGATATGATGTATGCACAAGGTTATTTATTGTGGCACTATACGTAATAACAAAAGAATGGAAGCAGTCTAAATGTCTATTAATGTCCATCAATATATGAGTATAGTACATCCATACAATGGAAGCCTATGGAGCCATACGAAAGAATGAAGAAGATCTTTACTCACTGACTGTTAAGAGAATCAACTCCCAGATCACTGGAGGAAAGGTGCACACAGGTGCACAGAGATAACTCTGAAAAGATACGCAGGAAACTGGTATGGCTGGCTGTGTTGGTGAAGGGGAACTGGACGGCTGGGGAACAGAGTGTGAAGGATACTTTTAATAAGTACCTTTTCATGCCTTTTGCATTTTTAAAATCTATGGGAGACGACACAGGCCTTGTGAGTCATAAGTGCAAAATGAACTGTAGAGATAGTAAGTAGTAAAAGAAATAAATACAATAGAGATAATGAGGTAAAGTTAGCTTTCAACCTTTTCCTCCTATGTCCTTCCCCCAAAATGCACACTTCTTCCTCTAATTACAATTTTGCTTGCTTTCACTGGCTTCTACCCTTATCCTCAGACCCTACTGTTTCATTTATCTTAAGAGGTATCAGTGTTTCCAATAATTTTCCAATCAAAATTATATAAGTACATTTCAATTTGCACTAAGTGCAGTTCTAGAACATGGACTCCATAGAAGCCACTGAGAGTTTTGGAGGCATATCACAATAGCACAAAAAGGTTCAAATCATTCATCTGAGGCAATCATAAGAGAACAAACACATCTTATGGAAGGTACTTTAAAAAAACAGTGGTTAAAATAAAATCTTGCCTGTTATTGGCAAAAAGTATTGTAGCCCATTCTAATAATATTTGTTTGGAGAATTAAAGATCTCATCTCCTGACATTCTTAGCTGTTACAAGCACACTAAAGAAGGTAAGCTTTTAGATAAAATATAAATTAGTAAAGTCACATACTTAATAACCATGATATCCATGGAGATGCACAATCCCATCTATTGGGATATGAGAAAATATTAAAATTTCCATTTCTATTATTTAATCTTATCCTTATAATACTGTATAAAGTAGTATATTAATATATAACTTATAAATAATAAATGGGCATGCATAAATTCTATTGCAGGCTCAGTCTTTTTTTTTTTTTTTTTGGCTCAGTCTTTTTTATCCATAGAGTGTAATCAAAATGTTTGGTAACCATTGCCAAATGATTATTTCTTTCTCACATATATAAGAAGAAATCAGATGTACTATAGAATATTTTATCTGAGCACAGTAAGAAGCAGCAGCCATAAACTATGAATTTCTAAGCGAAATACTGTTGAATTCATTTGGTACAGCACTTAGCATAATGTTATCTAAAGAGAGATTACTAATACATAATAGAATTTTGAAGTTAGATATCACCTATTTCAAATCTCATTTCAAACATGAGGTAACTACAGGCTGGAGAGAATAAATAACGTTCTCTGTGTCATATGGCTGACTCGTAGTGACAGAGCTAGGTACAGATCACAAATTTCCCAAAAGTTTGTCTTTCTACTACACAACACACGGAGATATAGATTTATTTATTTATTTATTTTAGGGAAAAGGGGATGGTTTTAGAAATTAAGCAGCAGGCAATCTAGTATTCTCACTACTTTATTTTCTCCTATTTAACCATATCTTTATTTTTGTCTTTTTAGTCTACCCAAAATCACATCACCGTTTTAGAAAGGTGAAGAGTGAATTTCTTTTTATCTTGTTAATTTTTTAAGCCATTCTAAAGGAGAAAAGTTCAAACCTGAAATTAATCCTACTGTCGCCCATCTTCTCTAACAGAAACAACCTCTGAATTCTAAATGCCTTTGTTCTTACCAATAACCCTCTGAGAACAACCCAGCACAAGAAACATATGCCCAACCCTACCCGAAAGAAAGGAAAGGTGGGATGAAAAATGCTAGAGCGAAATTAAAAGTGTTTATGCAGGTAAATTCAAACCCATTTTTAATACCCGTCTTATATTTGTGTAGTCCCTTCACATTATGTACAGGTAGCGTATAAGAAATTTGATTCTCTCTTCACACAGACATTGGGTCTACTATGGCTATGTCACCTAACCAGTTTTGTCACGTATTGGGAAACTGATACCGTGTTGGGTCGGGAATAGCAAATGGCATAATGCAGATAATCGCTTAGCAAAGTGTCTAGCATACAGTCAGGCAGAAACTACTTAACTCTTTTTAAGTCAAACACCTCTAACCTTTTTAAGTCAAACACACAGGGGAAGTGACATGCCCGAGGTCTCACCTTTCCTATTAGACAGGATACTTAGAAACCCAGACTTTTCCTCTAAGGAGACTGCGAGTTGAGACATTTAGGGAGTTGGCTAAATTCTTAAAAGGACTGGGAGGGAAAAAAAACTGGCCTCCGTCATGACCAAGGTTTTCGCCACAGAACACCCGTATAGCAGTCCACCTCCGTCTTTTCCCTCCTCCGAGGCAAGCAAGAACTACATTTCCCAGCGGCCCTCGGGCTGCTTCCGGTGCAGCGCGCCAGCGCTCTGTTTCCGGGCACATCTTCTACGTCAGTTCGTGGGAAGGTTCCTACGGCTGAGACCGAGCTCTTAATCATGGGTTCTTCCGTTTCCCAGCCACTTGAGCCAGTCAAGGAGGTTGCGCCTCCTGAGGTCGCCTCCTCCGCCAACCCCGTGCCCGTCATTGCACCCGGAGCGCTGACCCCTCCAGCGGAAGCCCCTCTGTTTAATAACTGCTGGAGCTGTCGCGTGCTCTCCGGGTCCGGGCTGATAGGGGCGGGCGGGTACGTGTACTGGGTGGCACGGAAGCCCATGAAGCTGGGATACCCCCCGGGTCCAGGCACGATTGCGCAGATGGTCTTCGGCATCAGTGAGAGTTCGGGGCACTACCCTTGGGCTGGGGGAAGAGGGAGAAGAGGGGCGCAGCCACGTGGGCGGGGGCGGGGCGCCCGGGTTGGCCACGTGGCGGCAGGCATTTACCACCACCCCCCAAGATGGGGGTGGGGAGAAAAAGTTATTGGGAAGCTTTTCTTTCTTTCTTTTTTCTTAAATCACAATATTTTTTTTGAGAACTCTTACTGGCCTCAATCTTTTTAATCCTATCAAAAGCTATTAAAGATAGGTATGAATACAGTAGTCCTATTTTCCTGCACAGAGAGTTCGAAGTCAGACACCCAGGATATGACACAGCTAGCCTTTGATTCCCAGCTTATCTGTTACCAAAACCCATGCTTCTTCTCTAGATTGTGGAGAAGGCCTGAGTGAGGGCACTTGACCTTGGTTTAAGAACTTTGGCTTTGAAGGTAGATTGTAGACATGGGTTCAAAGCCCACATACTAAGGTCTACCATTGGCTACTGTGGTCCACAGTTCTTATTTGTAACAATAGTACGTGATTGTCAAGCTGTCGTCCAGTAAAATGTAGTGATTTTTTTAGCGCTTCAGACCAACTGAGTGAATAGAATTTTAAGTTTTCAGATCTCTTACCTTCTTAATTAGATTACCCAGATCAATTCCCTTTTAGTAACTTTCTTGCTTTGGGGAAGTAACAATTTTTTTTTTCTCTCAACTTTCCTTTCCTGAGCTTCACTTTTCTGTAAGATAGAAATAATGGTAATTGTATCTTCAAGGAGTATTATGAGGGTTAAATGAGTTGATGTATATGAAAGCACCTGGTAAATTGAAGTACAACATAAAGAATAAAGTACTGTTGTTTTTTCCCTAGGCATTGCTTGCTGGGGTGTCGTCATCCTGTCAGACCCCAAAGGGAAGGCCTTCCGCGCTGGTTGAAGTACCACCACTGAATGTGTCATCTCTCGGCGTCCCCATGACACACAGAACAAGCATGGGGCGTATGGATGTTCTGGACAGACACATGGACATTGGCAGACTCAGTCCTGCAGATACTATAAGACTGAAGAGACAAACATAGGTTGTCATTCATTGGCCATGAGTGTTTCTGGCCTTCGCAGGTTCCACAGGGACCAATAAATCCCTCAGAGAAGAGGTTCTTTGTGTTATTTGAGGAAGGAGGGTATAATTTTTAAAAAATACAGAGGAAATGATAAACCAAATGAGAAAGTGAGCTAAAGTTATTTTAAATAGTTCTATCTACTTCTCCTATGGTTGGGTCAACACCTATCCACCTCATCCTGGATAGGCATCATGCAATAGGCAGAAATACATAAAACATTTATCTGTGTACTACGCATACTTCCCAAGGCATTGTCAGATCCATGACTTTGTGAGAGTTTCCCAGCTACTCTGAGGAGGTTATTTCATTGGTGGTAAGTGAACCTTAAAAAACAGAGTCCTAGTGATTTGCCCAGGGTCATTCAGCAAGTCAGTGATAGACTTAGGACTTGTTCTTGTCCAGTTGTTCTTGTCTTTCAGAACTAGGATTGTTCCAGAAAGGCAAGAATTACCTTTATGAAACAATTAGATAATCATAAAAATCAGCATAAAATAAAAAGCTCAAGTACCAAAATATTTGAGAGGAGTTCAAAGTCTTTTGTGCTTTGTGTGTGGGGTGAGAGGGGAGTGTGGCGGGGGTTGGTTCTTTTTCCACAAGCACAGGAAAGGTTTCTATGATGAAATTTAGTTGCTTTTGAGATAACTTAATATTAGACACTTTCTTTTTAAGAGAAGTCTGCTTCCAACCAGTTTTTTAATTTCTGAAATACTATGGCTTCTCTATAAAGTTACATGTAGCTATTTTTCAGAGCAGAAAGGGACTCTTAAATTTACCTGCCAATCACAACGTGTAAATTTTGAATGATAGGTTGAGTAAGTAGAGTACCTTTAGGGCTATTTTTCTAATATTGTAAAGAAGGGCCCAAGTCTTTTAAGCCTCACAAATGACAATAAGTCTCTTGCATTGTCTACACCAGAATTCATGGCATGGATGGTTATATATCTGTGCAGTTGAGAAGACATTGCAACATAAGGCAAACAACAAAGTATTTAAGTGAAATGTACAATTCAGTCATGTGATGTTAGTGAATATAGAAGTTTTAAATTAGAAGGGACCAGAGGGGACCCAAAGCAGGGTACTTCCTTGAGGGCCCATGACACTAAAATGCTAATGTAGACAAGTTACTACCTGCTTTAAAAGGCAAGCCATTCTGTTGATGGACAGCTGTAGTTCTAACATTTTCTTAGTTTAAACCCAAACTGGGTTTAAACCCAGTTTGTTGCTGGTCTTGGCTTGACTTACTGGATACATAGAGTAACTCTTAAAACTTATATATTGTAATATAATTGTAACATCTTTCCCAGAATTTGTACTAGTATGAATCTTTAACCAAGTAAGAGCTTTTAACAAATAAACTTGCCCACTCATCAGATATATTGCCAAAGTATGTTTGGTTCTTCCCAACTTGGAGTCACTTAACTAGGTGTGAGCAAAGTATTGTTCTACCATGTCTATAGGCAGTTGGGAATAATGCTCCCCTCCCCCCCAAAAAATAGAACTTGTAGTTAAAAATTGTTTCATTTTGTTTTTCTTTTGAGGTGTGTTCCAAAATTTGCTTTGATTTCTGCTGGTGGTAAGTCAGAGATCCTGGTTTGTTTTAGGGATGACTTCAGAGAGAGAAGAGACATTGCCTTAGTCCTGCAATGCAGGAAGTGCATTTAGTGTCCCTATTATCTTCCCTTTTCTTGGGATGAAGTGGGGTGAGCAGGACAAACAGGCTCAAGAATCAAGGGACTATTACTCAGTAATTTAAGAACACCAGCTTAATTATGATTTATGGGCTTTAGAATCTCTTCACAGCATGGAAATGAGAGTTTATAATTACCGTTAGCAAAGAAAGGAGAAAAAAGTACAAAAATAGGTAATTTGAAATGAACTTAGAGTTTTCCCTGGGACACAGATCAAAACGTGAGTATACATTCAAATATTGACATTTTTCATGATGTCCAAGATACCTATTAGCACAGCCTTTACACAGTAAAAACTTTGATGTCTCCAGATGATCAAGAAATCATTACACCATCTCTTGTTGCCTTTGTGTATTGCACTGAGTAATCTAGAATCCGGTGACCAACTAAGAATATGTCTGAACATATTAAAAGACCTGAATATAGGTTGATCTTTAGGATCTTGCTGTGTGTTGGGGGAGAGGTAAGGGGTCTCGTTTTTTCCTAGGCCAACTGCTGGGCAGCTGTTGCTTGCAGCACTGGTGTAGGCCAAATGCAGATCAATCTAAAAAGTTCTGGAGTTTCACCTGACCAGGACCCATTGCAGAGACAGCTGTTGCTGGCAGCCCTAGAGGTTAAGCATTTCAGCCGTGATTTGTACTTCACTGCCACCCTTAGCTTAGCATTTGCCCCTTGCTCCTTTTTATTACTGGTTTCTCAGCCTAGCTGTGTCTGAATTAGGGGCCTCTTGAATGATGCCACTTGATTTGACAATGGGAAATGTATTGCTCCTGAATTAAATATATGTTCAGGGCAAGCACATGTTCAAGTACCCCCTCAAACCAGGCTTGACCTCAACTGATTTGTTGCCAGGACTACATTGATCAAACTGACACTTCTCAAATCTTGCAGTGAGGAATAGTAAGCAATTTTGAGTTGAAAAGCTTTAGTGTGTGTGTGTGTGTGTGACAGATAAATCCTTGCCTTGACCCAAAGATTATTTAGGTGTTACGAGCAAAGAGTCAGAGGTGAAAGACCTATAATTATACATCATTCAGAGGTATCCTGAGAGCATGGAGAAAAAATATGTCACTCTTCTAAATGCATGTCTCTTAGCCTTTGAGATAATTCAGCAACTTGTCATTCAAAGGTAAATGGAATGTAGAGAAATAGCCAAAAGGGCAAATGTTAAATGCAGCAGTGCCACTAAAAACCACTGCTCAGTCCTGTGACTGAACTTGCATATGCTTCAGGAGTGTGGTAGACAGGATTCTTAAAATGGTCCCCCAAGGTTCCCAACCCCTGGGTGAAAATGTACCTTCTCCCAGTTATTCAAACACCATTCTAGGTGCTGCTGTGAAGGAAATTTGCGGATGTAATTAAGGTCCCAGGTCAGTTGATCTTAAGATAAGGAGATTATCTACATGGGCTAATCACATGAGCCCATTAGATCTCAGTCCAGACATCAGAGACTTGAGAAGCCGAAGATTCCTCCAAAGCAGGAGGGGGAGTCAGTGCATGGGAAGTGCTTTGGAGGCTGGAAGAAAGCAAACATCTACACTGAGAATTTCCTGTGGGGGCCACGTGACAAGGAATGGCAGGCAGCCTGGAGTGATCACCAGCCAACAACTCAAAGGGAAACGTTCTGCAACTGGAAGGAAATGAATTCTGCCAACCACCTGTGAGCTTAGAAGAGGGCCTGTGAGAACCAAGAACCACAGCCGGCCTTGGTTTCATCCCAGTGAGACCCGAAGCAAAGTATCTATGCTGTGAAACTGGAGATAATAAATTTGAGTTGTTTTAAGTTGTCAAGTTTGTGGTAATTTGTTACATAGCATAGGCGATGAATACAAGGAATCAGAAGTGTTTTGAGGTATCATAGTCATAGCGGAACAGAGCAGAACCCTGTGGCCCCCTCCCCCCAAGTACAAAGGCCCCTCTGTGTCCCCTGCCTCTTGTTTGTAGGAAAGCTGAAGTCTCCCAGGCCTCCCAGAGTCACAAGAGAGCACACTCAAGCAGTTAATGATTAGGACAATAGAGTCATAGACTCAGTGTCTGATGAAAGAATGGGATTAACACTATTGCTCATAATAATATATATCTTTGTGGGCATTAGAATAATTGTAGCTTGGTCTGCCCATATATGTAAGCAAGCAACTAAAATTGTCAGCAAAGAGATGCTGCAGACCCATGTCAAGATCTTCCACTCTGAAAATAACAGCACCCTATATCAGCATGAAGAAGTTACAGAAGATGGACCTTCACCCCTAATCTCATAGAAATGGAATGATGTCTGACAAGTGGGGATTTGTAGGCAGCTCTTTTGCCCCTTTCCTGTAGTCTATTTCTATTCCCCATAAACCTTAATTATAAAAAGGAGATCACTAGGTAACATTTAACCTAACTCTTGACTTCTCCTCTACTGAATGTACACAGTGCCCTGCTTGACCTGTTGATTCCTTTCCTGGATTAAAAGGAGTAAGAACGAAAGGTTAAGTAGTTAAAGAATGACTGACTCTCTACCCCTGGCTTCCCCCTTAGCAAATTTGCAGGCCAACCAAGCAGGCAAGAGAGCATCCAAAGGAAGATCAGAAGTCAGCAGGTCTGCACACAATGGAAAAATGAAGAATCTGATCTCCTACTCTGATGATTAACTGAGGTTGTTTCCCCTTTTTCCCTCTGAAAATTGTCATGGCTGAACAGAATCTTTGGAGTTGGTCTCCAGACATGAGTCCACCTCCTCCCCAAATTGCCAGCTCTTCTGAATAAAGCGCCTTTCCTTTCTACTGACGCTTGCCCCTCAGTTATTGGCTTTTGAGCGGCGAGCAGCTGAACCTGAGTTTGGTAACAAGAGCAGGCGGCACGCCAGACCAAATACACATCCCCATTCTGGGTACTCAGGAAGTAGCAAGAAGGGACCATCTGAATAGCATTTCTCTTTGTATTGTTAGTAATGGTCTTCACTTGTCCTTTTACTAGTGGTTTTCTTGGAGAGTTCGTATTTTCCGTTTTCTAGTAAAATTGTTCCACTGGTAAATATAACAAAAATTACAGCACCCTTTTTACGTGCCAAACATTATGGTAACTAAATGCTTTGCAGGAATTGTTTACTCCTCTCAGCAACCCTGTTTTACAGATGAGAAGACTGAGGCCTGGAGCAGGTAAGAATTTCCCCAAAGCCTCAAGTGATGAACCAGTACTAGCTTGGCTAAGAGCAGTATCTGGGAATTGGGAATTCATTTTGTTACAGTCGTTTTCTTATCA